GTGGCCGGTCGTGGAATCGATCATGCGATCGATATCAAAAAAGGAAAGGAGCCTTTAGGGCATGCTTTGTTTAACTCTTTGTAGTCTACACACATTCTAAGTTTATTCCCTTTTTTGGGGACTACGACTAAATTTGCTAACAGTTCGGGATATTTTACTTCCCAGATGGATCCTATTTTGAGAAGTTTGGTTACCTCATCCTTAATGAATGCATGCTTTACCTCGGATTGCGGCCTTCTCTTTTGCTTTATCGGCCTGAACTTTGGGTCCAAGCTCAATCGATGAGTGGTAATCTCCGGTGGGATCCCTGTCATGTCAAGGTGGGACCAAGAAAAACAATCCATATTTTTTAATAAGGAATTTAGTGATTTTTTCCTTGAGCTCGGGAGTTAACCCCGTGCCCAGGTATACCTTTCGATCAGGCAGATGCTCGATCTGTATGACTTGATCCATCTCTTCATTTGTTGACTTCGTGGCATCGGAATCATCAGGGTTTACGAAGGTTCGAGGAATCATATAATCATCATCCTCGATAATTTCCTGCTGCTCCGATCTGGTCGAGGCCAGCGACTGTGGTTGCTATTTGACTTCCTTCTTTTCCTTTAATTCTGGTCCTTTTGTTGATGTTAGTGCCGATACTGGTATTACCTCATCAATTGCAAACATCTATTTGGATGCTGGTTGTTCGCCGTACCGTTTTGATTCCTTCCGGTATTGGGAATTTTAAGACTTGATGAAGCGTTGAAGGTATTGCCCTAATATAGTGAATCCAAGGTCTTCCAAGCAGCGGTTGTATCTTATATCACCTTCGATTACATGGAACTTCATTTCCTGGATAGTTCCGGCCATGTTTACGGGCAAAATGATTTCTCCTTTGGTGGTTTCACTTGCCATGTTGAAGCGGTTGGGTATTCGAGTTGCGGGCACAATCTGATCCTGAAGGCCGAGTTTCTCTACGACCCTTCACCGAATAATATTTGCCGAGCTACCTGGGTCAACCAACTCACATTTAACTTGAATTTTGTTCATAAGGATATATATTACCAGTGCATCGTTATGAGGTTGTTTGATCTCTTCTGCATCATCATCGTTGAAAGATAAGGTATCTTCTGGTAAGTAGTCTCGAGTATGTTTTTCCCTTGTGATTAACTTTAGTGCATTTAAATATTGGGCCCTGAGGAATATCGACCCCACCAACGATTATATGAATCACGTGATGTGGTTCCTCCTGCTCGTTTTTCCTATTTGCATCTCTATCTCGAAAATGACTTTTTGCTCGGTCACTCAAGAACTCTCGAAGATGACCTTCGTTGAATAAACGAGCTACCTCCTCCCTTAATTGCCTGCAGTCTTCGATTTTGTGACCATGGGTTCCATGGTATTTGCATATTTGATTAGGTTTTCTTTGGGACGGGTCGGACTATAGGGGTCTAGGCCATCTACTATCTTTGATCCATCCAATGGATGATACAATACCCTATGCATCGACGCTGAAATTGTATTGTGATAACTGTGGAGCTTCGTTGGGCTCGACATTTTATCGAATCCACTCTTGCTCATGAGCCCTCGAGAATTTTATCCTCGATCATTGCTTCATTCATTCTGAACGGGATTACGTCCGAGTCCACTATTTCTACAATCTGCGTTGTATGGTTAGTATCGACTCTGTTTGATCGGGGCTCTCCGTCGATGTCTCTTTGAATTCTACCTTCAAATATATTTGGGTAAACGGAACCGGAAGAGACTCCTAACTGATCACCCTTGACTCTAATCTTCGATTGGTACCGAATATGCACATCGGCCCAAGTCACAGCTAGATATTCAATCAAATTCTATTTAAGTTATCATGATAGTATCGAACTTCGCTCGTTCAAACCTTGAGTGAAGGCTTGAACAGCCCAATCATCGGTGACCAGGGGTAGGTCCATGCGTTCCATATGGAACCAAGATACGAATTCTCTTAGGATTTGTTGTCCTTTTGTCTCACTTTGAAGAGGCCTGATTTCCTAGTCGCGACCTTTATTGATCCAGCGTGTGCCTTTACGAACGAATCAGCAAGCATGGCGAAGGAATCAATGGAATTGGGCGACAAATTGTGGTACCATATCATTGCCCCCATCGATATATTTTCTCCAAATTTTTTCAACAAAACAGATTCAATTTCATCAACTTCTAAGTCATTTCCTTTTATTGCGCATGTATAAGAAGTGACATGCTCATTAGGATCAATGGTGCCATTGTACTTAGAAATTTCTAGCATGCGGAATTTCTTCGAAATGGGCTTCGGAGTCGCACTCGGTAGGAAAAGCTTCTGCACGAACTTCTTCGAATCCAAACCCTTTAAAATCGGGGGTGCCCCCGGTATTTGATCAACCCGTGAGTTATATGTTTTTGCCTTTTTATCGTTAGCCTCAATTTTCTTTTCTCCTGATTCAATCAGTTTAGTTGCTCCTCGAGCATTTTCATAATGGCGGGGTCAGCTCCCGATCCATTATCGTTTGATTTTTCCGGTATAGGCTCGACCCTGTGAATAACTTCATGTGATGCATCGAGTTTGATTATGCTTGGTGCTCGATTTTGAGTTTTGAGATGCGTTATCGCGGCTTGCTGAGTCTGCAACATTTCAAATATCATTCGAAAGCTAATCCCGCATTCTTCACCACTTTGTGCGTTCTGATCGGCTGCGCGGGTGTCTCAGCAGACGCTATTTTCAGGATCGGCGCCTAAATTTCCATGAATTGCAACAAAAGAATTGACATGGACTGGATCTACGGCCTATGGTCCATCGGGATTGATTGGAGGTACTCCGTCTTCGGGGGCGACTATGTGCTCGTTCTTGCCATGAAGACCAAGGTCGGTGTCTGTTTGAGTGGGCACTGCTTGAGAGTTTTACATGTGTATTCCTGAAATCAAAGACACTTACGAGAACAAGTGTAAAAGCAGTGTGTGTTGTGAGGATTAATACTAGGCAATCACTATTATCCTTAGCCCCACAGTGAGCTCCAAACAATTTACCTTAAAAATTGGATAACAATTAAACTTATTATATAGTTTTAAGGATACCTGATTTCACCTAATACTAATGGATAAATATAAAGATGAACAATGGGAATTGACAATAAATTAAAGCTAACCGGCTTTGCAACGTAATTAAGCTCTCGAGCTCGTATGCCCTCGAATAGATTAATGCCAGAATGGTAGAGGATATAACAAGCTGATGAACAAGAATGTAAGCTAGGAAATGTTATATTGCTTTGATATTCGTGAATGTAAGGTGTCTACAAATGGTGGGGACTCCTCTTTGTATAGTAAAGGAATCCTAATTATGGTATAACTCCAATTACATAAGTAAATCCATGATTAGTCTAAACAACCGCCCTTAATTTGATCTGTTCCGGAATTTCTACTGAGATCTTCGACCGGTTACAGATATCTCGCATTTCCGTTATTGTGCTTCGTTCGAAGTCGGTCATATATGGTTTCAATCGTTGTTGGCCTCGATCTCGACGAGTACCTCGATTCTCAAGCTTGATACTTTATCTTCGTGCTCTGACCTGATCTCGATTAAATGGCAAAATCGGGCAACCCTATTCTAACCGTATACCCTTTTAACGCAATTGTGCTGGTATGCTGTCCAATGACACAACCTATCGAGACTCAGTTTCGAAGAATAATTGGTTCTGTTGTTTGTCACTAATTCTACGTTATCTCCTTAAGCAGCAATTCCATGATATTTGATACAAAGTTTCCTTAGCAAACTCGAATGGAGATGACTAGCCAACAATAAATGTATTCAAGTAACCAGCTCTAATGGAATGACTAGCCAACACAGATATGTATTTGCGTTAACTAAGTAGTAGATTTAATAAATTAGGGATGGCAGATGGCAGTGGGGCAGGGCAGGGCGGGACGAGGCGGGTTTGGCAAAACCTACAAAAATTTCAACTGGCCGCGTATAGTTATTTTTCTATTTTCAACCCGCCCCACCCCGCCCTGCTTAAATTTTTTTTTCTTTTTTCTTTTATTTTTTTCTCTAAAACAAATTAGTTTGATATTTTATAATTTTTAAAATTGAAGAGATTAATATTATTCAAGCAATTATATTTTTTTTTTTTTTGTCATAGTGTTAAGTTACATGCTCTGCCAAATGATCTCATTAGTAGTAACATAATTTTCCAAATGTATAAAGCTAATCATGCACTGTCCATGAAATAAGAAAGACAAGATTTTATCACCCAATCAGTCAGTTGGTATATGAATAATACATTGTTTTTCAATTTGCGTTCTTCCTTAATTATGAATGTTTAATTACTATCAGCAAAATAAAGCTGAAACAAAACAAATCTTAGAAGCTTTATAAATCATCCTTTTTAACAGTTCATAATATATTTCACTGTCACGATTCCCGATATGAACATACCAATATAGTACTAACAATTATCATTTTTAAATATCAAAAGATTAATGAAAGCACAATAATTACAAAAACAGAATGCTTTCCTCGGAAAGAAACCGACAATTAAATTGCTAGTCAATAAGAATGTATACTTGTAGTTAAAATGATCACTTTGTTTTAGAAAAGTTCATAATTCAAAAGCCGACCCGCCTTTAACCTGCATTAAACCCTCAACCCGCCCTACTTTAATTTTTTTTAAAATTATTTTATCCCGTCCCGCATCAAACGAAACCTACGCCGCTTCGCACCCATCCCACCCCATTGCCATCCTTAAGTAGAAGAATGGGTTACACCGACACAGCATTATACAGTTCAGCTTTTCTAAGCGAATGTAGGTACAGTAGGCAGTAACAACCTTCTAGCTAATACAACCAGCTTTTCTAAGCAAGTATATACTACTACATGACTATGGTTAGCCCAACAATTAGTGGAGCAACAATAAAACAATGGGCTTGTCAAATGACAAATTCCAACAGAACTCAATGTAGCCTGCGGGATTGCATTTTAGCACTTGTAATTTGATTAACAAGATAATGGACACTAATCAGTCAAAATTAAAGCACAAAACATATATTGCTTAAGAAATAAGCCATCTTCCCCTTCCAAGATATTTCAAATCAAGGACCTAAACATGTTATCCATAAGATTTCAATATACTAATAGGTATGTATAGAAGTATCAACTACAACGCAAAGGAATCAGTAAATGTGCCACCACGGTAGCACAGCACTCCAATATCCCAAACAAAAATAGAAAACTTGACAGCCACTACTACATAATTGCACTGGATATACTTCACAACTTGAGTTCCTTAAGCTTCTTGATGCTCTTCCTCCTCATCTTCATAGTCATAACCTTCCTCCTCAGCTGTTGCGTCTTGATATTGCTGGTACTCAGAAACTAAATCATTCATGTTGCTTTCAGCCTCAGTAAACTCCATTTCATCCATCCCTTCTCCGGTGTACCAATGCAAGAAAGCCTTTCTGCGGAACATAGCTGTGAATTGCTCACTAACCCTGCGGAACATCTCTTGAATTGAGGTGGAATTACCAATGAAAGTTGAGGCCATCTTCAGACCAGTTGGAGGGATGTCACATACTGTTGACTTTACGTTGTTAGGGATCCACTCCACAAAATAGGAAGAGTTCTTGTTCTGCACATTTATCATCTGTTCATCAACTTCCTTGGTGCTCATTTTTCCACGAAACATAGCTGAAGCAGTCAAATATCGACCATGACGAGGATCAGCAGCGCACATCATATTTTTTGCATCCCACATCTGCTGTGTTAGCTCTGGAACAGTCAAGGCTCGATATTGCTGCGACCCACGAGATGTGAGTGGAGCAAATCCAACCATGAAGAAATGCAACCGGGGGAATGGGATGAGGTTAACAGCAAGCTTGCGGAGATCAGAGTTGAGTTGACCAGGGAAGCGGAGACAGCAAGTTACACCACTCATGGTGGCAGAAATCAAATGGTTTAGGTCTCCAACTGAGGCAAATTCATCCATCAGTAAATAAATCAACAAAATCCACTGTATGAAGTATATTAATAAAAATGGTACATTCACTAGAATTCATGCACCAAATTAGGGGGGCTGAGTACGATTTTAAAATGGAAGAAAGGAAAACGATGGCAAGCACTAATATGTAGTGATCATACAACCAGAATCATACACAATCAAAAACTTTTGCACATAATATTGACTGAAAGGATAGCAAAGATTCTAAATACAATTAGATAACCAACTGAAAATGATACTTCAAATCAACTTTCCGATAAATGAGAAGTTTAGAAACATATAATATGTTCAGCACATACATAAATGAATGGCACCCGATCCTTCCCCAGCTCATCTCAAATTTAGTGGGGTATTTTAAGTCAAAATAGATGATAAAACTAACCCAAGGTGCATGAAATATATGAAAATATAGCACACAAGAATCAGGTTGCATTAGAAAAAGAACAGGTAACTTTAAAAAGGGAAAACTTACAGCTCGGTGTAGTAAGTTTGAGAGTGCGGAAGCAAATGTCATAAAGAGCTTCATTATCCAACACCATACACTCATCAGCATTCTCAACAAGCTGGTGAACAGAGAGAGTAGCATTATAGGGCTCAACAACTGTGTCTGAAACCTTGGGGGAAGGGAAAACAGAGAAGGTAAGCATCATTCTATCTGGGTACTCCTCCCTGATCTTTGAAATAAGGAGAGTTCCCATTCCTGATCCAGTTCCACCTCCCAAAGAGTGACAAACCTGGAAACCTGAAATCAAAAACAAAGTCCAAATTCATTTGTTTAACATATCAGATTACTTATTAGTGGACAAGGTATTGTACTTCGAGCACAAAATGCATTCACAAGATGTAAGCTAAAGGTAGCCAGCCCAATCTTTTATTCATTTTAAAGGTCTAAAAACCCAATCTATTTTAGATCAAAGACTCATGCAAGCAGGGTCTGAATTTATAAAATCCGAAGCGCATTACATAGTAATAGACCTGCTTCATTTGACTTAGTTATGGACCAAAAATAAGGCATTAACTAAGCAAAGAGGTTTCAAGCAATTGAGGCAACCATCACATAGCCATTAGGAGAATAGTTGAGTTGCTCAAAACAGGCTAAATAAAATAACTAATAAAATAAGAACAAATATGGCCTAAATTACAGTGTTAAGTAGCATATCACTCAATTATTCTCCATAACTAGCAAATTAGCCAAAATAGACACATATTTTCTTACCACAATGAAAGACGTTTTTCAGTTAAATTGAAATACAAACACACCGAACCTTCATATGCGCTAATATATGAGAAACCTAAGTTAAACCAAAGCGCTCATTCAAACAGGTACCGTATCTCTTATATTCAAATACATTCCAAAGGATGCACAATAAACAATCTATTTTACATTCTGAAAAATAAATTCTACAAAATTCCTATCCGATCAATTAAAGATAAATATACAATCATAAAAAATAAAATAAAAAACACAACCAGAATTACAGTGTTAAGTAACATATCACTTGATCATTTGCCGTAATAACAAGCAGTTTCTCCACAAAATAATACTACAAAATTCCTACCCGATCAATTAAAGAGATTAATTTAGTAATATCGAAATTTAAACGTTTAATAGACAACTAAATAGTGAAATTAAGGAGATATATGAAGTACCTTGTAAACAGTCACAGTTTTCAGCCTCCTTCCTCACAACATCGAGAACCGAATCAATAA